AGAAGAGATACACAAATCATTGCACGACAGCTGAGCTACATCGCAATGAGGGGACACATCTGCAACGACAACCCGTCGTAGGTGAGTGGACATTTTATTGGCCATAAAGTGCATCGCTTGATCGAGGTGGTGACAAAGTAGTGAACGAACGTGTATTCCCATCGGAGACAACTTGTAGCGTCTCTAAACTAAGTCAAACGATCATCATCACCATCATCATCATCAACAACAACAGCAGTACATCAGCCTTTTGAACTGATGCTTCGCTGCCATACAACCATGAGGACCTATGAAATAAAGAATAAGAAGAGGGAGAGAAGGGGGACTTACCTGAAAACCTTCATGTCCTAAGCAAACATTCAGGGTCAAGGCGCCTACACCTTGTGTAGACAACATTCCGTCACAAACAGCTGGCTATCGTGCAAAGATAAGGCGGCATCGGCAAGACAGCTTCCTTGCGGCTTTCACTGCCACGCATCATAATCAGCCATTACCCCGCAGATAACTCAGCACCAAACACACTTTAAACAGACAATCCAATTAGGAGACGGCAGCAGACGCGCCACTGGTTTCAGTTGCGAGCCATGTCCTGTAAAGTCTCGAGCCAAGCACAATGCGAATCACTTGTACTCCAGCCCGGAAGGCGAAACGGACCAACGGCACCCAGTTTGGTCGTCAGTGACTTCATTTCCCGCTGCCAAGTCAACTTCTGTCCACATCGAGCCTTGCGCCACCCTACACCTGGTAGACTGAACAAGGCCCTCCTGGGTAAGCGGTGACCAGGCACGCGTAGCACGTGCCTGAGCCAACGCAACTTATTCAGTGCTATCTGTTATTCTAGGGAGCTGGCATGATCATCACCACCTAGTACTCGCCTACGCATATCATCGTTGCGGACACGCTGGTGTCATCCGACTCCAGCAATGCTTCGCAAACAACGATGATCAAAGACTTGAAGGCGCCTCAGATCTTCAGACCGAAGGGGCCAAGTCTCACTACCATACAGCAGAACGGCCCTCACTGTGGCCTTGTATACACGGCCTTTCAGACGGAGGGAAACTCCCTTCTGTCGCCAAAGATGCCGCAGGTTCAAGAAGGCAGCTCTGGTTCTTGCAATGCGTGAACTGACGTCAGTTTCTATGGGCCCATCATTGCTGACGCAGCTGCCAAGATAAGTGAATTGATCAACCATCTCGAGTTTCTTGTTAGTAAGCGTCAAGGGGTCATCAAGTGGCTGGTGGTCCTGCAGCAACACTTTGCACTTTGAAGGTGCGAAGTGCATACCAAATAATGGGACCACTCTGGATAGGCTAATCAGGGTTGATTGTGCCGCCTCAGCATCGTCGAAAAGCAAGACGATATCGTCCGCATAATCTAGATCAACTAACCTTTCACCAGGCAGCACTTCAACGCCTACATCGTGAGATGCATGATAGAATCCACGACGAAATTGAACAAAAACGGGGAAATCGGACAACCCTGACGAACGCCACTTGTGGTCGAAAAGCTATCCGATAGGGCACCGTAAACCCTGACGCGGCCTGTAGTGTTCGAGTATAGAGCACGAAGAATGTTCACATATTTCGTGGGAACACCTTTCGAGCAAGTATTGCGAACAGAACACATTGATCGACTGAATCGAACCCACTCTTGAAATCGAGGAACACAGCTAATGTCGGTCTGCGGTATGCGTGGCGCTGCTCTAGCACCTGCCGCGAAGTAAATATATGGTCTATACAGCCATGTCCTGGGCGGAAACCAGCCTGCTCTTCTCTAATCCGAGATTCCCGTTCTGCAGTGAGGCGACGAACGATAATCGAGGCCAATAATTTTATCACAATTGGCGTTAGGCTAATACCCCTGTGGTTAGAACAGTCTGTGCGACTGCCCTTTTTGTATATTGCCACTATAATCGATTCGCTCCAATTAGCCGGCACACTCTCTTCGTTCCAGATACGTTCGAATAGGGAGGTCAGTGCTTTGCAGAGGACCTCACCTCCATCCTTAAATAGTGCAGGTGGTAGGGAATCCGGGCCAGCGGCACGAAAACGATTGAGGGCTGTGATCGCGTTTCGGACCTCGGCCTCCGACGGAGGCTCTAAACTAACCGTCCATGGCACGTCCTGCATCACCTGAATAGGAAGAGGTCCGGGAGCAGGGGGCCAGCTGAGCTGATGTTCAAAGTGTTCAGCCCAACGAGCCATACGGCGCTCCTTATTGTGTATCAGCGCACCCGCGCTGTCCCTGATTGTCTCACTGACGCCTGGTTTTCTCGGACCAGTGGTGCGGATTAGCTGGAAGAGCTTCCGGTAATTGCTTACTGCTCCTGCCTCCTCCATTTCTTGAGCCCGACTGGTCCACCAGGCTTCCTTGTCAGCAAGTAGGCTCCGCTTTAGTTCACGCCTAATAGCCCGTCTAGTCACATTGTGTTCAGAACCAGCCGGGAGGTGCCTTCTAGCTTCCAAAAGGTTCTCGGGCCTCTCGGATATCCAGTGACTGGTGCGGTGACGACTGATAGTGCCACAAACAGATGCTCCTGCGTCGTGCATAGCGGCCGAGATCCTATTCCACTGAAGTTCAGTGTCATTAGGACAAGACAGCGAGAGTTCGCTATGCAGTGCTTCTTGATAGACTTGCCTGACAGAGGGCTGGGACAATTTCTCCGTTGCCAATCGGAGGGGACAATTGGTGCGCCTCCAGGTAAAGTTCATGGAGAAACGACAGCGCACCAAGGCATGATCAGAGTCGACACAGGTACTCCAGTATGAGCGGCAATCCAGAATGGAACCGCGCCACCTGTAACTTATGGCTATGTGGTCAATTTGGGTCCATCGCTGACCAGCTACAGGTGGACGTCAAGTGGCACTTCGGCGCCCACTGTGTCTAAAAGCAGTGCTAGTAAGAAACAAGTGGTGCTCCGCACACAGTTGCAGCAGACGCTCGCCGTTGTCAGTCCGTTCGGCGTTAAATCCATACTTACCACCCAGCTGAGCTTCTGAAGAGCTCAGACGCACTGCAAGTACTATAGTATCTGCACTAATTGCACTGCGTCGTAGCGCGTTTAGTTCGCCATAGAACATGTCCTTGACAACATTAGAACTGCAGTCGGTGGGACATAAGCGGAAATCACAAACAAACAGCGTTTTGCATTACATCGTGAATCAACCTTAGTTGATGTCGTCAAACGGGCTGCACATAAACGGCTGTTCACCGGAATCCAATCAACCAACGATGACTCAGCCTTGGAGCTGAGAATGATACCTACACCAGCTTGACCCGTGAGTGCTGCATCGGCGTCTCCGGATGCGTGCAACCAATAACGAGAGGATAAGCCGGGTGCAGTCAATTCAATAACCCCGTTAGGGTCATTAATCCTAGTTTCGGTCATACAACATACATCAATACCCAGTGTGTCCAAGGTGCGTGCGAGTGCAGCCTGCTGACCCGTTTGTCTTAGAGTGCGAATATTGAATGTCGCCAATGAAACGGGATAGCGTGGTCTTATAAGGAACTTTTGTCGATAGGCGTCCGATAGGTGCTGTGGGATGGTGGCTGCAGATGGTTCTACTCCAGTAGCACGTCGGTTGCTGTCAATTAAGCTGGGAACTATAGAAGGAAGGTTAGTAATGGGGGCCGGGATGGGAGTAAGAGAAAAAGGTGGAAAAGAAAGAAGGGAGGCGCCAGCAGTAGCATGCTTTCGCTTATCCGCCCTGCTGTATGCAGCAGATAAGGCGACCCTTGATAATCTGCGCGACGGCCGATGCAGGATGAAATTTATGTTTGAAGAAAATGTCATGGTTGTATGTGGGCTGATACTGCCAGGGCGCCCAGACCTAGACAGGAGGACGATTAGGGTCCTCATCCAAAGCCTTTGGCTCAAAAGCCTGTCTGCAAGACAGCGGGGAGGTGGCAATGATTTAGTTTTACAGAAATGGACGCCATCCCATTTCAAACCCCCAACCTGGAGGACCAGGTGACTGAGTTTGTCTGACCTCTCACCATTGACCAACCTGGTAGGAGTAGCTCTCAACGCGCCCGGAGGCATCACCCAGTATAGCTCAATGGGTCAATGAGGTACGCAAACCGTCGCACCACGTTAAGGTCCAGTCTCGTTGCTTACAATTCGTAGCCCGTTGTCTCTCTTAGGTGAGTTTGAGGGGACAGCATCAGCACTGAGAAGTTGATAGAAAATCACTTGACTTGGGTCATATGAAAGAGAATAAGCTACTTACCGGCGTACTGCTCTCATCGCAGACAAACGACGAACAACAAAGTCAGTCTCGTCGTTTACTATGATTTTCAACCGTTCGACAATCTATCGATGGTAATAATGAGTGCTGAATTCACCGGGTTTAGCCATGCTTTCTTAACTGGTTCACAGCCAAAAGAATGATTTGACCTATGCGGTTTGTGGCTTCTGGTATAGGGAACTCATCGGGTGTTCAGAGGTGACAAACCATCGAGGAATATAAAAATTCACTCAACCCTATCTAATTCAGCTCAAATATAAGTGTGACAGTTTGGAAAGAAAATATTGCAATCATGTCTACTTGCATCAACTCCTTCTGATGATGTTAAGGCTTAACCTAGTTGACATACAACCGTTATGCTGTTAGGCACGATAAAGTTGGAAATTACCGCTTATAGCCCATTAGGCACCGGAATTAGGCAAAACATCATGGTGTGTCAGATTTCTTGCGGAAATCTCATTCACAGGTCTGTGTTGGGGGTTAAAGCGAGGTAGGTATAGTGAAGGTTGAACGGATGGCAGCACTCTCGAAGCCCGATGAGATGGTCTAGTATGCAAACTGAGCCCACCTAGAAAGTTGATTTTCAACCTTGGTGGCTCAATCTGTCTCTCCGACTAATACACTGATACTTGCCAGGCAATAAGAAACAGCTGAATCACGACGGTTTTGTGTTACGACAAGTAATGGGGGCTAGTAGCCGGCGGAAATTCAAAACGTAACCGTTGAAAAAGTGAGTCAGCCGAGGCTTACCGGTGGCGTTTGACCGAGCGTTTGATGACTGGCCTTCCGGTTCACCTCGCTCAATCGATGTTTGAGCTCTTAATTTTGAAACCAACGCCTGGAATGTGAAATAGGACGTGTATATGAAAAACGGCAATAAACAATAAGCTAAAGGATAAAAAGTAAATTACACACATCTTGCACTCGCATTTGACGAAAAGAACAACCATGAGCCGTGACGATTAAGCAGCTGCTAAGACTGTGGAACGTCAAATTATGATCTCTGAAAGCGCTTTTGGGCTATTAGTCTAAGTAAGCTGAAGAGCTAAGTGGGTCATAAAGTAAATTTTCGGTACGAATGGAAAGCTCCTGAAGTCAGCAGAAAGGCGAAGTAGAAAGTAATAGAGCGCAATCGATGAATGGAAATGTGACCACTCGTAGAGTATGAAAAATAGTGAATGCAGCGCAACCCGTTTTAGATACTTGTCACAGCGACATATGTGTAATTATGGCGTACAGGGATTGACCTAGAACGTAGGAGAAGAGATTGCAATAATATATGACCCGTCTGAACTGTATGTACGCGGGAAAATTTAAACGTAGAGAATTTCGACGTAAAACGCTTTCGGTCTAAGTAATAATCACAAAACAATGCCAAAAATGGTGGATGCCACAACGCATACGTTAATTACCACGATAAGCATCAGAATGCCGAAAAAGTCGCAGATAAAGCAAATACAGACATGTTAGCCGGAGACTCAAAGTTGGATGGTGAGTTTGGAATCGGAAACGCCGCGCAAAGTGAAAGAAGAACTCTACTACAAATCAACAGCACAATAGGAAAAAAGATAAATGTTGACTGCCCAATGCGTAGAACTTAGATTACAACGAAGTTTGATTATTTGTGTATTTACATGGTACACACCACTGAATGGAAATTTCCAAGCGCCATCAGAGCCACTCATAGCGCAAAGGCCGATGAGAAGGCACCGGTGGTCGAAGGTAACTAGCTTCTATATGTCTAGCAATTGAATGGGTCAGGTTTCACAACCGTACAGCAGGGTCGAACGTACGGCAGCATTATAAACTCTGCCTTTCATGGCCAGTGATGTCGTGCGGGTGCTTTAGGTGACGAATGTTAGCAAAAGCGTCCTGAGCTTTTGCTATACGATTTATGACCTCATATTCTGTTCCACAAGCGCTGGTACAGCTGCGCAAGCAGTTAAATTTCTGAACCGCTTCCAACTGATCCCCACCAAGAGGCAGCGCAAGAGCCGGTCCCTTTGTACTTCGAGGGTTCAAAGCAAAGTGCGTAATGGCTGACAGCCAGTGTTAATATGTCCAGTGCAGCTGGAACGTTTGTGAGCTGTCACAGATGATGGCAATGTCGTCAGCATTCCCCAAGTCAAGAAGTCGATAAAATGGGAGCAGCTCCACACCTTCTACGTCGTGTCCTGTAAAGGCAATCTCCATTACTCCGTCAACAGCAAAATCGAAGAGAAAAGGTCACAGCGGGCATCCTCGTCTTACACCGCTAGATACTGTGCCCGAGGTAGGACGTATAGCGATTGGACAGTAGTTACATTTTTCTAGCGCACAACTTTCCTGAGAAGACAGTCTCAAAGGGCACATCGACCAAAGGAATCGAAAGCACGACAACGGTGGGCCACTAATATATGTGACGGGATTCCAACAGCTGATGGAAACCAGGCCTCGACGAAACACGGCTTGCTCCTCACGAATCTGGTCCACAAGAGTGCGAGTTAGTCTCCAAACAGTAAGAGACACAAGTAAGTTGGAGGTGATGGAGATCAGACTGATTCCGCTATGATTATCGCATTTGGAAGGTGAACCTCCCTGGAAGGTCAGAAGAATAACGGAGCGGCTCTAGTCGGATGTGACAGTTTCCTGCACCCACAGTTTCACTAATAACTCGTGTAGATCATCCACAAAACAGATCCTTCGAATTTGAAGAGGGTTAGATGAAGATCAAGTGGTCGCGCGGCCTTGTTCTACTTCAGCAGTCCGACCTCACAATCGAATTCTGAGCGAGCAGGTGGATACAAAGGAACAGCCCAGAAATGTATATATGTATTGGCAACAGTCTAAAGAATAGACATGGAGCCAAACAAAACCAGGAAAAACATAGGAATATAGGTTTGATCACCACATTATCATCAAGGCGCATTAGCTGAAGGTGAGCAACACATTTCAGTTATTGTGACGAAACGAAGCAATGCGAGCACTGGCCAGTGAGAAATCTAACAATCCCGGCCGATTAAATTGCCTTTCGAAATGCTTAGCCTAACGATCCACGTGTTTTGACAAGTGCACAGGCTGTTCACTCTCCTTACAAAGAGTTTCACTAACGTCAGGTCTCCTGCTGCACGTTTCCCGTATCAGACGGAAGAACTTATGATGGCTACCAAGGGCAGCAGCCACTTTCATCACTGAGGCACGATGAGACCACCAGGACACGAGGTCTCGCTTCAAGCTAGCACAGAGTTTTGTCATGAAGTCTTTGCGAGTCTCCTCGTGTTTGCTTCCAGCCGGAATTTGCCAGCGAGTGTCCACTTGCTCGATTCACTGCGTAGAGACCTAGCGTCCATGTTCGCTATTGTATCTCCCACATGCAGATTTCCCCATTGCTAATAAGATCAGTTGAACATGCGACCAATGACATTTAGTTGTATACAATGAGCGCTTCCTCAACCCGAATGCCAGAGTACTTCGATAGGCACTCAAAACATTTTTGTTCGTCAGTTCGCGGGTGTCTAAGCCCCACAGCGTCATCGCACGTGTCCAGCAATACACAACGACAGATCAACACATACAGGTGCATGGTCAGTATGCACACATGTGCTGCAATTCAAGTAGCAACTTTCAACGTAACCTCTCCAGCGGTAACTGATCTCGATGTGGTCGATTGGCTTCCATGGTTGCTCTGAGGCTGATGGGCACCATGTGACCTTCCAGCGAATGCCGTGCCGGAAGTTATTACTCTTGAGAAACGGCCAAGCATCTCCATACAAATGAAGCAACCGATCACCGTTATCATTATGGGAGCCTACACCGTGTTTGTTTGCCAGTACCATACTACAAATCACATGTTGATGACACTTTTGCTTTTGGTTTGTCGGAGCAGCAGCTCCCAACAGTGCACTTGCTAATCTACGGGTTACATGCGAAGCAGAAGAGTAGAATTATCTACTCTATTTGGACACCCTGATCAGTCACAGGGATGGTGTTCCGTTTACTGGAAACGAATCTGGTCCGGCTAGCACTTGCACTTCAAGAGCCACACAACAATGCTGTCATCGCCATTATCATTATACACGTTAGCTAGAGGTGGGAAACACCTCAGCTACTGTGCCGCAATACATAAAAAGAAAGGAAAATAAATACAACAGTTGCATGCCAGCTGAGCTACCAGCAACGGATAGGCATCGTTCCGGTAAGCTACCAGCCGGTTACTAGGCAACAAGAAAAATCACTATGTAAAACGATATTGCACTATGAAATGAGGTCGTGATTGGAGGGGGAGGCTAAACGGGATAGGGAGGGACAAAGAAACTCACAGCAGGAACGCCACTGAAGTCATCTCCTTCCCATGTCAGCAAGTGTCTATAGCCAAACGTGTTCATCGTCTTTTGGACCCCAACCAGCGAGCCGTGACGTTCCAACCGAGGCCAGCTCAGAAGTGAGGGCCTTCATTCCTCTTGACCAAGTCATCGCTTGGCCACCCCTCCTCTTCTCCTATCCACATCTCTGGTGAGCAAACAACGCACGTCGTGGAAGTCGATGGCGCTTACTCAACTCGCATGTCAGCGTAGTTTGATAGGTATACAGAACAGCTGGCTTTGTCAGTTGGCTGGTGTCAATGTGCTAACAGCGTCGTCGTGGGCGTCTGCCAAAACGCATCCGCAAGTCAGCACATACAAGTGCACGATCGGTGTCCACACATGTGCTCCAAATCGAGAGACAGTTCAGGATGCATCATCTCCAGCGGTAACTGATTGCCATGTGATCGATTTGCGTCCAAGACTGGTTCGAGGCTGGTGGGCGCCAAGTCCCCCTACGGCGAGTGCTGTGTCGGAGTTAGTGCTCGCAAGAAATAAGCGAGCATCCTCACACAAATGAAGTAACCGCTCACCGTTATCATTACAGGAGCCTACACCGTGCTGACCGCCCAGATGCAGTTCATCAGTGGACAACTTTCCAAGTTGTGCGTTCAGATCCCCAGCCAGCACAACAGTGTCCGTGCTTTTTCTGTGGCGAAGCAGCTGGGTCAGTTGGCGGTAAAAGTCGTATTTTACCGAATCATCGCTACGGTTTGTGGGCGCGTAGGCAGCGATGATGAATAGACACCTATTAGTCCCGCGCGACTTCGAAGCTTTGAACGAGCCAGCCAATTGGACCGCACACATCCGGCAACTGATTGGAATCCAATCAACCAGAGCAGCTTCAGCCCGGGGACTCAGGGCAATGCCAACACCGGTTTGACGGATGCTCGAAGCTGCATCGTCACCGGATAGGCGCAATGAGAAAGTGCTGCTGGTGTCACCTGAAGGGGATCGCAAAGTGAACACAGAGCTCGAGTCTTGCACGCGGGTCTCCGATAAGTAGCAGATATCAATCGAGAGGGTCTCTAATGTTCGAACAAGTGCTGCGTGTTGACCGATCTGTAGTAATGTGCGTACAATAAGGCATGCCAATCTGAAGGAGGATCGAGGGCTCCAAATGAAAGCCGGTGAACTGGAATGAACCGCTTGCTTGGACATGGGCCTGTTGATGGGAGAGAAGTGACGCTCATCGTTAGCATGTGAGTTGAAATTAGAAGATAAACGCCTACCAAAGCATGTTTGGGGAGGACCAAGAATTGGGGGGTTGAAAACTGGGGGGATAAAAGTGAAGTTGGAACAGGACCATAAGGGAGAAAAAGCGTAAGAGGGAGAATAAAAAGACGGGAAGGCTTGAGCAGTAGCACCCAAACCCCTATCCACCCTGCTCGATGCAGCAGATAGGACACCGTTGATTATCCTCTGCGGTGGCCAGAGCGTCAGAAAATTGTTTGAAGAGATTCATTGTATTGTCAGGGCAGGATACTGTCAGGTTGCC